CTGGAGAGAGGCTTTGAGGGAAAGAAACAGAAACTTCGATCCCGCCTGAAGAGCATGTATCTCTTTCCCTAGAAGGGACCAATTTTGAGGAAATCCTGATGAAGAAAGGTAACACAGTAACATAAAGGAAAAAAGACTTAAATAAAGGCCTGGAAGACTAGGAAAGGAAAAGTATATTATATTTATAATTAAAAATATCAATAAAATGAGAGTATGCTGCTAATACTTCAAAAGGAGAGACATGGGGAATAGTTACCAAAAAATGGTTAGGAAACTAAGGACAGTTAATTTTTAAAAAGACAATTAAATTGGTACTTCATTTCAGTATAAATTAGACCCATGGTGAGATTAGAGGATTCAGGTATGATTTTATTATTCTACCCAAAGAATAAAAATATGGCCTATGTATAGGTGTCATAAATTAGCTTTAGTCTTATATCCTACTCTAAATGTATATGTCATCCAAGTTAATAGATATTGAATATTTGATCAACTAAAATATGCTGGTTTAACTTTATATGGGAACAAATACCTCCCTATCCTATACCATTGGTTTTTTTCTTCAAAATCCAGGTCTTTACAATATCTGTAAAAATTTGATCTGTATAATTCCAATCTATCTAGATTATTTTTAAAATTTTGATTCTGTGTCAATTATTCACTCTACCTATGACTGTTTTATCACCACTTATTAAATTCAGTAAGTATTTATTCAGTGCTTACTGTGTACTAGACACAATTTTAAGTGTTGAGGATATAGCAATAAACAAAAGACAGTTTCCTGTCTTCATAGAACTTAAATGATAGGAGAGGAGACATATAATAAAAAGAAGACAGTAAAGTAGAGAGAGAGTACATGAGTCAGTGATGTGAAATTTGGAGACATATAGAGTAGAATAAAGGGGATAAGAAGTGTAGAAGCCTCTAGATCCTTGTACCAGCCTTGGGTTTGGGGAGGAATGGTGGTGAGTCATTGGCTGTAGCATGGAGAGTGAAGAAGTAGGAAATGAATACAAAGATATATAGAGAGACTATCCCCTATAGGGCACTGTGGACCATGGAAACTTTTCAGCTTTTGCCTACTTAAAGTGAGAAGCCATTGAAGAGTTTAAGTCAAGCTGTAACATACTTAAACTACATTTTAATAGATTTTAAATTTTTTGAAAGGTTGCTATGTTGAGAATATATTGAAGAGGTGCAAGAGTAGAAGCAATTTAGAGCTCCTATTGCAGCAAGCTAGGCAAAAGTTGATATTGGTTTGGACCAGACTATAACAGTGGAAGTGACCAGATTCTGAATATATTTTGAAGGTTGAATCATACATATAACTTGCTGACTGGATATGAGATATGAGAGAAAGAGAATTCTAAGTGGACTACATGGTTTGGTATCTGAGAAACCACAAGGATGGAATTGCTTTTTTACTGAGATGGAAGGGCTGCAGGAAGCAAGCTTGAGGGTGAGAGCCAGAAGTTGGCTAATGGATGATTTGAGATGTGTAACACATATACAAGTGGAGATGTTAAGTATACAGTTGAATAATTGAGTCTGGAGTTCAGGGGGAGAAGTTCTGGCCAGAAATATAAATCTAAGAGTCATCAGCATAAAGAAGGCTTTTAAGTCCAGGAGGAAAAATGGGAGTACATAAGAAACCAGTGTAGACAGAGAGATGATAATATCCCAAAGCAAGGCTTTGGAGAATGAAAATGCTGACAGATCCGAGTTGAAGAAGAATCAGCAAAAGTGACTAAAAAGGTATAGCCAGTATAGTTGTATGATTTGAGATATGCTCTCTTGTATTTGAGCAGGGTTTCTCATTGTATAAGTATTTTTAATGAAATATTTCATTAGATTTATTTAAAATAGAATATGATGGGCTGCCTGGGTGGCTCAGTTGATTAAGTATCTGACTTCGGCTCAGGTTGTGATCTCAGGGTCCTGGGATTGAGCCACATGTTAGGCTCACACTCAGTGGGGAGTCTGTTTGTCCCTCTGCCCATCCCCCCACCTGTGCGCTCTCCCTCTCTCTCAAATAAATAAATAAAATCTTAAAAAAATAAAATAGAATAAGTTTATAGCAGCAGTGTCCGCAATAGCCAAAATATGGAAAGAGTCCAGATGTCCATCAACAGATGAATGGATAAAGATGTAGTGTATGTGTACACACACACACACACACACATACACACACTGGAATATTACTCAGCCATCAAAAAGAATGTTTTGCCATTTGCAAAGGACATGGATTGAACTAGAGGGTATTATGCCAAGCGAAATAAGTCAAAGACAAATACTGTATAATTTCACTCATATGTGTAATTTAAGAAACAAAACAGATGAACATAGGAGAAGAGAAGGAAAAATAAAAAAAGATAAAAACAGAGGAGGAAGCAAACCATAAGAGACTCTTAACTACAGGAAACAAACAGGCTTGCTGGAGGGGAGGTGGATGGGGGGGATGGGGTAACTGGGTGACGGGCATTAAGGAGGGCACTTGATGAAATGAGCACTAGGTGTTCTATGCAACTGATGAATCACTAAATTCTACCCCTGAAACTAATAGTATGCCATATGTTGACTAAATTGAATTCAAATAAAAAAAAGAAATAAAATAAAATGGAGAGAATATACAGTGAAAATTTTTATAAACCTTTCTCCTTTATTGAATCTTTGTGTTTTTTAGTGCACTATAACACTATAGCTAATGTGGACACCTCCATGTACCCTTCTGCTTCCGTTCCTTTTTCTCTCCCTTCAGAAGTCACCACCCCTCCTTTGAAATTAATGTTTTTTATTATTCATATTTTCATATGTAAATGTATGTAAATATTTTTTTGGTCTATACATGTGTATATTCTGTAGGGGCCAAGAGCATGTTGCCCCAAAATGTACCACTTTGGCGTATTGATTATTTTAAATAAAAATTACTTAAGAGACAGCCTGTGTAAGAAGAACACTAAGACTCTCCTCTGTCCCCCTAAAACAGGAAATAGATCTCCCATGTGAAATGTACCATCCCTGTACCAGGAGGTAAAGAGACATCCTTATCACCAGAGATAGGAAATTTAGAGCTGAGAAGCTCTATAAACAACCCTTGTAACTTTCTACTACCCCAGTCCAAAATCTGTTCAGCATTCCTTACTAATTGAAGCTAGGAGTTTTCTTTGTCCTGTCAGTTTCTCACAGATTGCTTGTCTCTTTGTCTAAACAGTATAAAAACTTCTTTTGGTCACTTCTTTAGGTCTCAATTTTATTATTGAACCTCCATGTGCATGTAACAAAACTTTGATTTTTTTTCTCCCTTTAATGTGTCTCATGTAAATTTAAATCTTAGTCCAGCTGGAAAAACTTGACGGTAGAGGCAGAATTTTTCCTTCCCTTCAAAACATACTATAGGGTGGGAAATGTTGGAGTTCAGGAGCAAACGGTCAAGAAAGAATTCTTGAGACATCTTCGGGGCAAAAAGGTGGTTTTATTAAAGCAGAGGGACAGGACCTGTGGGCAGAAAGAGCTGCTCTGGGATTGTGACAGGTGACTGATTATATACTTTCAAGTTGGTGGAGAGGGTTAGGGATAGTGGAAGTCTCAAAGGAATTTGGAAGCAAGGTTTCCAGGACCTTGAAGGTCCAGCAGTTGTTAGGTTAAGGTCATTTACTACTGACAAGTAAACGTTTCATCATGAGACCCTTCACATGTATATCAGTGAGCTATATCTTTAGAGGATGATTGCTAACATATATCTTGGGGAGGGTAGAGATCAAGGAAGTTTCCAAAAGGATTTTCATATGTTAAAGAAGATTTATAGGATCCTGGAGATCTGGCTAATGTCAAGCTAAAGTTGCCTTTTGCCTTTAGCTGAGTATTAACGTTGAGGCAGTTGAGTTCCTGGAAGAAGGTCATTCTGCCTATCTCAAGGACTTATCAATGGACTGTAAGTTATATGGAAGTTAAATTTTTTTCCATTTCTTTTGCCTTTTTCTCTATATCATTGTATATATATATGTTAATATTTAAATATCTGTAATATTTACTTATAAATATTTATATATAAATAAAATATATTTTCCAGGTTTTTAAGCCTTTCTGTACAACCTGTACATTGCCACCTTCACCTCTAGATTTGTGTCTGCTTAGTAGCATATTTTAAAAATATCCCATCATAATGTTTTGCAGCATATTTTTCTAAACATTTTATGCAAGGTATTTAGGGCTGTTTCCAGTTTCTGCTATTTTCAATAATGATGCTACAGATAGTCACATACTGTCTTTAATGTACCAGTGTGTGTGGTTTTATCTAGCATATAAATCCAGGGGTGGAATTGCTGGTCATAGAGAATGTGCATTTTTCGTCTTATTGAATATCACCAAATCCTCTTAAAGTGATTGTGTCAATTTATACCGCTACTAGAAATGAATGAGAGCTCCCTTTGCTGGACTCCTTGGCAATCCTTAAATCTGATGGGACCAAATGCAATCTCATTGTTTTAATGCATTTTTTTTTTTTTCAAATTCACTTTTTCAAAAGTTTATTGTCCTTTTGGGTCTCCTCCTTTGTGAATAGTCTGGTCATATCTTTGCCATGTTGCGATTTTGTTTGTTAATGCTTTACATGTAGGAAAATTCACATTAAATTCTGGTTTTTATTTTTCTTGAAAAGCAAGATCTGGCAATAGTTGCCAACTTTTTCATAAGGTGACAGTTGACAGGAAATCTTGAGCTAGACCATACACCTTTTGGTTTGCCACAGTCTGAAATACTCCTTATCATATTACAAGTAGCCTCCTTTACTCATTTATTTTATCCATCTGGCTCCTAGTAGCATCTGAATTAAGGATCCTGTCCTAGAACCACATGAACCAGGTTAGGAATCCAAGATTCTCCTAGGTTTCTTTAGAAAATATTGTTTAACAAGATTAAACACTTTGTTTAAATGACACACACAGAAATGCTATTCTTAAAAACAAAAAACCCTTAAGTTTGTTTTATAGACATATCCCTGCTTTAGGTAATTCCAAAGTATAAAAGTCCAGATTTTTTAAAGCAGATGGTGATTATTCTCTGTTCTAAATACCTCTGTAGGTCCATTTTAGCAATAATCGCGCCTCGGATAAACCTCATTGGCTACGATACTGCCACTGCGCAAAGCTTGTAGGTCCATTTTAAAATTTACCAAAACTCACTATGGGGTTTATTTTACAAAGCAACCTCCCCTAACACACTTAAAACATATATAATTATTCAGCCAACATATACTTAATAACCTATCATTATAGCTCACTTTCTAAAACATCTACTATATAAAGGGAGTTACATGTACATTTCGTGACATTTTCAGCTAATTAAAAATATATATACATTCATTAGTCCCTCCTTACTTAAAGATTAGGGTGATGGCAACCCTGGAAAAAAATAATAGAAAACTTGGAATAAGAGGGAGTGGAAAAGTGTGAGGGGTTTTGAGTGACGATTAACAAATGAGATATTCTGGGGCATTTCTTCACTGATGAGTATCTGGGATGCAAGGCTGATCCGAAGGAAGTGAATTATTTCCCCGGGGCACTATGTCTGCTCTTGTGGTAGCTGCTACCACATAAATATTAATGTCTGTTGCGGGTAGCATAGCCTCAATGACTGTGCTCACTTCAGGCATGGATAATGCAGAAAAACAAGGATATAATACATTATTAACTTCCCAGTGTTCTTTATACAAAATAAACTTGAAAAGTGAATCTAACTAAGGGCACCTGGGGGGTACAGTCAGTTAAGCGTCTGACTCGGTTTCAGCTCAGGTTGTGATCTCAGGGTCCCGATCTCAGGGTCTGGAGATGGAGCCCCGTGGGGCTCTGAGCTCAGTGAGTCCACTTAAGGCTCTCTCTCCCTTTCCCTCTGCCTATCCCTCCCTGCGCTCATATGCTCTCTCTCTCTCTCTCTCTCCCTCTATAAAATAAATAAATAAAATCTTTAAAAAATAAAAAAATAAAAGTGATTCTAACTCAACTGATTTCTACTTTGATGTTATATTGTGATATTATTATATATTACTATATCATCAGAGCAAAGTATGAAAACAAATCAACCTCTTAAGTTCAAATTGAATACTGTTATCACTTATTTATTTATTCCTCCAACAAATATTTTTTGAGTACCTACTATGTGCTAGGAACTAGAAATAAAACCACCAAAACTCTCTGCTTTGTAGAGCTTATCCTGTGGTTGTACAGGTCATGTTTTATAGACCGTTGCCCATGCAGATATATCCCAGCTACTGCTTACTAGCACATCTCCACTCCTCTTGGAAGCTTCGTGTTCTGTCTTCTGTGCTATTACTTTTTGGCTGTCACTCAACCCGTCCTCGGGGGTGGCAGAAGTAGAGGCCTGACAGAAAGATGGGGAAACATTGTCTAAAACTGGTGCCATTTCAAAAAGATAGAGAACAAAAATAATAAATCCATTTCCTGTTGTACTCTAAATATTAATACTTTATCATCTTCCAGGTAGACCTCAGAAAGACACATGCTGTGTTTACACTTTTGAATACATTTTTCCTCTGTTGAGCCAAGGCTGTATTAGGGCAATAGTTTGAACTTCATCTGATGATTCCAACAATTACACTCGAAGTCAATAGAAGATGTAAGACAAAGAAATCCAAGGGAAAAAAGTAGAAGGATGCAGAGGTCAGTGAACAAACAGCAAACAATGTAAACAGTTGTAAAGATTAGGAAGACTAGTAGGTGGGATATTGAATTGAGATGTTAGCAGAAGCAAAGTGCCTGTGGGCCTGTAACTGAAACAGAAGCTTACTGTCTCCTTAATGGAAAAGAGCTGAGTATATTGAATTTAAAGGAGTATTCAAGGATATTAAAGAGGAGTTTGAAAATATCTGAGTTTTCTGCTTGCTACAACACATTTGATTTGGTTATCTGAAGAAACATTCCCTGTGTAGAATACCTGAAATGCTTGATAAAATGTAAACAGCATCTTTTTAAAAGCATGGCTGAGCTTTTGGGAAAGTTGGAGAAAATCACTAGAGACCAGAGCTGTAAGGAATCATGAATTCAGAAAGATAAATAAGCACTGGAGCAAGTGTTTATTATGGAGATATCTGAAAATTCCTTTGTGGTTGAGAAGCTAGGGTTTTGAAGGTCTATCCATGCAGGAGACAGAAGTCAGATCCATAGGCTATATTAGAGACCAAAACTAAAAAAGTGGCATTCTTTTGGAAATCAGCAAGCAAAAAAATGATGAAGCTGAGGGAAAAGCTCAACATACTTACCTCAGTTTTGGCTCCAGGTGAAGTAGATAGATAGATGGATAGACAGATAAAAATCTCTCCATGGACAATGCCTAACCATGAATTGTAGACAGTCCCCATACAAATTTGGAGTTGGAATCCATAGTAATTACATGACCAAAAGCCAGAGTAAATATGAATTTTAAATGGTTCCAAATTACCTACAAGAGTGACAATTGAACTGACATTGTATCGGTAATGATAAAACTGGAGAAATATAAAAAAAAAATCTTTAAAGATTTTTAAAGAGAAATAAGAGAAAATAATTATCCTCGAATTGAATACCCAGATAAGTAATTGTTTCTATTTGGAATCAGAACAAAAGAAATAGGCTTTCAAACATTAGTAGCAACAACAAAAACTGAATTTACCAATAACCTTCATTAAAATAAATTCTAAAATTATGCTTCAGGAAGAAGGAAAATGATCCCTGAAGCGAAGTCTGAAATTCAAGAGATAATGGTGAACACAAACTGGTAAAGCTGAGGAGAAAACTAAATGACATTGACTATTTAAAATAATAATATAATGACATCTTAATGTGGAGTTGAAATATTGGGAGGAAACTGCCAATATTTTGGACAGGACTAGGGGCGCCTGGGTGGCTCAGTAGGTTAAGTGTCTGCCTTTGGCTCAGGTCGTGATCCTGGGGTCCCTGTTCTGTCTGCCTGCATCTCCCCCTGCTTGTGCTCTTTCTCTCTCAGTCAGTTAAGTAAAATCTTAACAAAAAAAACGACAGGACTAGTGCTATGAGGCAACAATACTTAAAAAAACCTAATGATTTAGACAGTGCCATAATGGCCCATGAAATGAGGCAATGAAACAAGAGAGTCCAGAAACAGAACAACATGCATGTGAAGCTTGATATTTGTTTTGACAGATCAGTGGAGAGAAGATGGACTGTTTAATAAATTGGTTTTACAGATGGAAAAAAAAATGAACTAGGACTATGACTCACACCATACACCAAATTCAGTTCCAGATGGACATACATGTGGAAAGCAAAACTCTAAAATGTTGACAATACAAGAGAATATTTTTATGCCTGTGATTCACACAAAGATTTCATTAAGACCTTTTTTGAAAAGCACAGAACATAAAGGAAAAGGTTGAAAAATATGTCAAAATTTATATCTGGCATTGATTATCATCAAAGACCCCATAAGGAGAATAAAAACACAAGCCTCCTACTGGGAGAAAGTTATTTGCAAAATGTATAACTGTCAAAGACTAGAATCAGAGCATAGCAAAGACTTCTATAAATCAACCATAAAAAGTCAAACCAAGAGAAAAGGCAAAGACAGTTCATGGAAGAGGAAACATGAATGGTTCAAGAGCAAATCAAAAGATGCTTAATTATATTAGTAATCAAGGAGAAGCAAAATAAAGTCATCATAAAACACCATTCCACCTCCAACAAACCAGGAAAACAAAGAAATATCTTACAGTAGCCAGTGTTGAAAAATATGTGGGGCAACAAGAGTACCCTTGGAGTACCGGTGGGAGTGGAAATCTGCACATCCTCCTCAGAAACATTTTCCTTCCCTTCTGCATGTTTAACAACTCTTTGGTGCAGCAATAACTCTCTTAGGAGTATTCTCTACAAGTAGAGAAGAACATATCCAGTTTGATACCATACTTATACTATAAAATAAAAGTAAAGCAAGAAAACACTATATTGGGTATATTCCATTTCTTAAGGGAGGTGGTGGTTACATGGGGTGTTTTATTATTTTTCTGAAATTTGTACCTAAATGTTATATGTAGTCTTTTGGAAGAAATGAGGTCAATATTAGAAATGATTTATGTGTTCTATATTATCATGCATAAGTAAATCAATTGGTAAACTGTAATTCTCATTTTATAATGTCTTCATAGTATGGATATAATAGTTCTCATTGCTATCTTCCTATAGTCCTTTGTCAAAGATTGCCTCCTCCTGAGATAGAAAGATCTTGGAATTGGGAAGACACCTCCTCTCACTCCACGCCTGCCCTGCCTCATTACCTAGCTGAGAAATGGATTCGTATTCCTATACTCACCATAAGCAGATGAAGCATGCAGTTTTCCTGGGCACTAGTCTCCATGTTGAGGTGTTACAGTTTGTTGATTTACAAATACTCATCACCTCCAGAACACACGTACAGCCAGCATGCCAAGGTATGATCTATGCAAATACCAATAACCTCATAAAACCTGGAACAACTCTCATGTTAGAACCTCAGATACTGCTTCTGGGTCTGGCTTCTTGTACCAGATGTCTACTTTTATGCTGGTTTCTTTTATAGACATGCTCTCTGCTCCCCACCACCATAACCAGTGTCCTCTACCAGAAGGTCCCTCCATTTCCAAGCATTTCAGTCAATGCAGACAGCTCCTGGAGAGATAGGTTCACTGGTTTCACACACCCCATCTTTACTTGGGTCCTGCAGGAATAGCCTACAGCAAAGATATTATCTGTCTTGGTAGAGTGAAAGAAGTGAAAGTTTAGATTTTGATTGTATCAGATTAAAAATTTTCCAATATCTTCAACTTTATTTCAGCTTTGGAATTGGATTATTTATTAATTCTTACAATTATTTTATCTTTCCACTTTGATATGTATCATTTTATAATTTTGATCAAGTTGTGATACCCACGTCAAGTAGAATTAATCATTATTTACTGGCAGATGGTTGCAGAGAACATTGAATGGGCAGAAGCTACAAAAAAATCCCCAAACCTCTTGCCACCTTCTCAAAAAGTATTAGTTACACATAAGTTAGAAGCTTTAATTTGAATATGGATGATTCACTGCATCTGTGCCTCTGTAATCCCCTTCACCCTTAAGATTTTCTGTGGTCTGACATCAACATC